TTTCTTCGATAACTCCAATGGTTTTTCCGGAATCGTCCTTTGAAATATACAAAAATATGCAAAATACCACCAATTTTCGACCAATTTTCAACGAAATTTCCGAAATTTCACTAAATGTATTTTCTTGTGGATTTAGGTCCCCCAGAATTCATATCCACTTTCGTTTCTTCGATAACTACAATGATTTTTCCAGAATCGTCCTTTGGAATATATAAAAATATGCAAAATACCACCTATTTTCGACCAATTTTCAATGAAATTATCGAAATTTCACTAAATGCATTTTCTTGTAAATTTCGGACCGCAGAAATTATTGCCGCTTTCATTTCTTTGATAACTCCAATGGTTTTTCCAGAATCGTCCTTTGAAATATACAAAATATGCAAAATACCACCAATTTTCGACCAATTTTCAACGAAATTCTCGAAATTTCACCAAATGCATTTTCTTGTGGATCTAGGGCCGCAGAATTCATACCCGCTTTCATTTCTTCGATAACTCCATTGGTTTTTCCAGAATCGTCCTTTGAAATATACAAAATTTGCAAAATACCAGCAATTTTCGACCAATTTTCAACGAAATTTTCGAAATTTCACTAAATACATTTTTTTGTGGATTTACGACCGCAGAATTCATTGCCGCTTTCATTTCTTCGATAACTCCATTGGTTTTTCCAGAATGGTCCTTTGAAATATACAAAATATGCAAAATACCACCAATTTTCGACCAATTTTAAACGAAATTTTCGAAATTTCGCTGAATGCATTTTCTTGTAGATTTCGGGCCGCAGAAGTCATATCCGCTTTCATTTCTCCGATAACTACAATGGTTTTTCCAGAATCGTCCTTTGAAATATACAAAATATGCAAAATACCACCAATTTTCGACCAATTTTCAACGAAATTTTCGAAATTTCACTAAATGCATTTTCTTGTAGATTTCGGGCCGCAGAAAGCATTGCCGCTTTCATTTCTTCGATAACTCCAATGGTTTTTCTAGAATCGTCCTTTGAAATATCCAAAAATATTCAAAATACCACCAATTTTCGACCAATTTTCAACGAAATTTTCGAAATTTCACTAAATGCATTTTCTTGTACATAGATCTAGGGCCGCAGAAGTCATATCCGCTTTCATTTCTTCGATAACTCCAATGGTTTTTCCAGAATCGTCCTTTGAAATATACAAAAATATGCAAAATACTACCAATTTTCGACCAATTTTCAACAAAGTTTTCGAAATTTCACTAAATGCATTTTCCTATAGATTTCGGACCGCAGAAATCATTGCCGCTTTCATTTCTTCAATAATTTCAATGGTTCTTCCAGAATCCTCCTTTGAAATATCCAAAAATATTCAAAATACCACCAATTTTCGACCAATTTTCAACGAAATTTTCGAAATTTCACTAAATGCATTTTCTTGTACATAGATCTAGGGCCGCAGAAGTCATATCCGCTTTCATTTCTTCGATAACTCCAATGGTTTTTCCAAAATCGTTCTTTGGAATATTCAAAAATATGCAAAATACCACCAATTTTCGACCGTAATGAATTTTTCATTTGTTGTCACACCGAGGAGCGTAGCATAATTGCAAAATCCATTAATATAAGTAGTTTTTTCACTACAAGAAAGTTAAAACGTGTTTAAAATGGTAAATTTTTGCAGGGAAATATGGATTTTGCAATTATGCTACGCCTCTCGGTTCGATAACGAATGAAAAATTCATCACAATTTAGATAGGGTGGGTGGGCGGGGTGCATATATTTTTTTCTTAATTAGGTACCTTTTTTTACCACAAAAAACTTAAAAAATGTTTAAAATGGTACATTTTTGCAGGAAAATATGGATTTTGCAATTGTCCTCCGCCCCTTGGTGTGACAACGAAAGGAAAGTTCATCATAGTGGAGATAGGAACGGGGGTAAAGGTGGGGTTAATTTTTAGCTTCCTTATTTACTTGATAATTTTAGTTTTCTTTGAGCATAATTTTGTAAGAACATGTTCCAGATGGTAATTTTTTGTGGAAAAAAACGATTTTCCAATTAAGCTCCGCCCCTTGTCTCACGACGAATAAAAACTAAAAATATTTTTTCTTAATGTAAGTAGTTTTTTCACAACAAGTAATTTAAAACCTTTTAAAAATGGTAAATTTTTGTAGGGAAATATGGTTTTTGCAATTAAGCTCCGCCCTTCGGTGTGACTACGAATGAAAAATTCATGGTGGGGTGGGGGCACATATATGCGTGAGTTATGTTGTAAGTTAAGTAGAACTTTGATACTAAGGCAAGGATGACGTTGATCTTCATTAACTAAAGCTCGATATGTTCGTTTGTATTTTTTCAGCTTTCATTTGCTGAACTTCTTGCTTTAATTTCTTATTCTCTTGAACGAGGTCATTGACAATTTTCTTCGAGTCTCTTACCAAATCATTGAATTGGGATCTTCTGTATCTGGAGTTTGACTTGAATTACCAACTCTGAAGAAGAAATAAATAATTTAAAGAGATTTTCCAACAATTATGTGTTCGTATTCATTAAACTGCCTTAAACAGAACGTCTTTGAAACCACGAAATCTTATTTTGCGTTTTCGTCACCGTTTCCAATAGAATTTAAACGTGATTTGTTTCTTTATTTCTCCCCGCCCAAACAAGCACCTTCGAAATTAGCCAAATTTTCAACCCCTTTGTCGCAACTGCACCGCAATCAGAACGAAAATTCCGCCCCGTGTCTTCAAACATTTTCACTATCAATTTACCTAATGGAATTAATTTCCATAATATGCAAATTCGTGTCAACACAACTTGTTGTTTCAGCGGGCGAGTCGATAAATTCAATTACAACGACAACAATTCCGTTATTTTTATGTTTGTTTTCGGGGTTATAAAACTGATTTGGCAATTTATTGCGCCAGAAATGGCTCGACGAAGACTGCCGGCCGGACAGACACCCCTCGGGCTTGATTTATGTGCTTTCGCCACTTTTGGTAAACAATCCGATGGAAGTAGGACGCCGAAAGTGGCACAAGCCTAGATCCCGGATCTGGGGCTTATTACTGGCTATTATTAGGTGTTGTCAGTTTGGGGTTTACAGGTTGTAAACAATTAGGTGGAGTGCTGAATTCTGATGATGGACGGCACGGAAGGAATTTGAAATGGGGGGAAATTTATCGCATGGGCTAATTTATTGATTTGGAACACATACACAGTAATGGTGTCACGTTTCATATTTATGAGATTTTTTATAATTTTAGTTGAAAATTTCTAGTTGGGAATTCATTTCGGTTGCATGCTTTTGGTGCCTACTGTTTCCGTTTGCTCGTTGTTTGACTCTTTTTGGTTTTTATTTTTGTTATTATTATTATTATCAAAGAGAACGGATTTCTGGAATATAATTAATAAATCACTAAGCTAAAAAAATATATATATTTAATATGTTCATACAACACTTTCTTTTAAAGATATTTGATTCACTGCTGGCCAGTGTTGGGCAGTATCTAGTATCTGTATCTAGATACAAAATTAATGGCACAGATACAGATACTTTTTTTATTTCACTTTTTTTTCAGTAGTTATTAGTTGAGTTATACTAGTAGTAATTTTTGATACTTCATGTTGGTCATTTTGGTCACATAAACAAAAATAGAGGTAAGAGGTCCACTAATAGTCTTCTGTCACGGAAATTTTCATATTTTAAATACCATCATTGTAGCCTTCAGTATTTATACATCTTTAAATATAATCCTGAAGGGTTATAAATCTAAGCCATGGTAAGATGGTATTTTAAAAACCATAAACCACAATTCACTATTCACTGCGTTTTAGGCTTATCGGGGCAATGCATTTTATCTGTGTACCTGAGCAACCCGGGTCCGGTAGGCCCGCTGGTTGTATTTGTGTTATTAAATAAGAGTAATTTTAATAGTAAAAATATTTGTTTAAGGTATGTTATTATTTTTAGAAAAGAATAATTGCGTGTTACATAATGATTAATTTTTTGCAATTAGCACAAATTAGTTCTATAATCGACTAATCGAATGTTCAATACATACATTTCCCTCGCATAAATCGCATATTTGTTACTGTTTTATACCTTTATTTTTCAGACAAATGTAGCATCTTTTCCTGTTGCCACATGTGTCATTTCTTCACTTTGTCATTGTTGGACCTAACGCGAGGCGGGCTTGGCAGGTCCGTTTTGCCCTAGAATGTGCCGATTATGTTCAAGTGTAAATCTTGGGCAATAAAATTAATATTTTTACAACCCTCGGTAGAATAATTTATCGTGATATATTATCAGAAATCGTGAAACGAGATTAAAATAAAATGAGTTTTAACAAAAATCTGAAAATTTAAAGTTGCACTCTGGTTATTCCGGCCTGCCAGGCAGCCTTTGATCCTGTAAGGGGTTTAAATACCTTTCTAAGAAATTGTACTTATTTTGCCTTAAACGGAACCAGCAATTTTTCCTAAAATGTATATACCTGCCGCACCCGGATAGACGATTACCGGGCATGGTCATAAAAACATCGTAAGTCGATATTGAAGAATAATAATTTAAGACAGGTTGCCGACAACAGACCTTTAGCACAGAATAATCATTTCCCGTATTCTTTTGAAATATTAATTTTAATGCTGGAGATAATTATTACATATACTCAAACACAATTTGGACACTGTAGTAGGAAAATAAAAACAAAAAAAATATTCTTTCTAATCGTACATACGTAATAAATATTGCACAATTTGCGACACATCAAACAGCGAAGCGATGGGCTATTTGCAAGAAAACAAAAGATTTTTCAGTCTTGAATAACTATGCTGCAGTAAAATGTTTATTTTTTAAATTTAATACCACAATCCCTTCTTCTGCATTTGTGGAACGGGTGTTTAGTGGCGGAAACCAAATTCTGACACCAAGAAGAAATAATTTAGGTGACAATACGTTCGAAATGTTGTTAATTTTAAAAAATTCATTAAACAATACATAAAAAAATACATAAACATGTTTTCAGTTATTTTATTCGCCAAAGCTTCAAAAAGTATATGTTTTCTTGTATCTATATTTATGTATACATTTCGAAAAAATCGAAAACAATCTGTATCTAGATATTTTTAAAAGTATCTGTCCCCAACACTGCTGCTGGCATGGGTTGATGGCGCGCTTTGACTTTTCAATTCCTGCAAAAATGAATTAATTATTGGAAACTTATTTTTTACAGACTATTGTTTATATAAAAATAACAGTTAATAATTTCTAAAATCGTCATTTTTGAATTCTAAATACAGATCCTACTGAATATTTCGATCTACTTCTATATTCTGTATATCTGTAAATTTATATATACCTGTGATAATTTCTTGAAAAATTCCTAATCTTCATGCTTCACGAAGACGAATAAACAATTCTGAAGAAAGATGGTTAGTTATCTTGGTAATCCATTCCAATTCTTCTTCAGAAAAAATAACAGTCCAAAATTCGGTGAGGCAATGGTTCTTAGAATATTTCATAAGTAGGTCTGCGTAATTTATTTCTCGATTTTAAAAATAAAAAATGGTCATAAGTTTGTTTCATAGATTTTATAGAATACAAAGGAAGAGTTACTTACGTTACTTTGAATATAATCAAATAATAATAATTTAGGACAAAAAAAAATGCTTAAAGATAGTATATTGATTGCTATTGTACTTGGTCATTTTCTGGTAGTTGGTTTGTAACTAAAAAAAAAAAAAAATAGTGTAATTACGCCAAAATATTTATTACTATTTAAAAAAATGTGGGCACAAAAAAAATGCAACAATATTACACAAAAGCAATTTTTAACTTTACTTACTTCGCAGGAAGACAACAGCATAATAAACTGACTCAAAAAGTAATGATTCAGGTATTACCCTCTTGATATTTAAAACGATTTCACCAATTCCTATTAATAAATGCAAATTTCATATATGCTAAAACTATAGTATTAAATATCAAGAAATTTTGATTTTTTTTCTTACCTTCTTTATTTCGCTCTATTTGTGATGCATTTTATAATATAATATAAATCTTTGTACGTGGATGCCTTTCCTACTAACGATTTAAGATGTTCTTGAAGGCATGTGTCTGCAACATTTCTTTTAATTTTTGTTTTCACAACATAAAACTGATTTCTTACTTGTTATTTTCTTCGTCTCAGTTTTGTTACAAATCGATTGAGCCATTTTTTAAGAAATACTAAACGGTACCATACATCGCTTTTGGTTTATTTAGTGAAAGAGAAAACACAATCCTGATTACTTTTCATAAAATCTTATTTAATTTGTTGTTGCAAATGTGTGACATTGATAACTTTTCCCACTTTTTTTTTTAAATAAAAACTAAAATAAGTTTGAATTTAACTTATCAGCAAAGAACAAATCAAACGTGATATAGTGATGTAGAAGAATTTTGAAATAATGTAATTATAGATTGTGAAATTAGAATGGGATTGCACTTTTTTGGGTTTTGTGGTCTTTTCGATTAGATTTTTCGCAGACTGCTATTTCAGTTTCATTTTTTTTTAAGATGACTTATTCCACACCGTTTTGACAAGTAAAATTTTTGACAGTTTCTGAATTACAGTTTCATTAGACTGTGCTTGTAGGTAATAAATATATGACAAAATCTGTTTTCGAAATTAATACTGGAGTGTTGTATTGTAAGTTTATACTGAGATACAGTTTTTAAAAGGGTGGTAAGTATTTGAACACGTTTATATCAGTTGCTGTAGTAGTCAACTTATTAACCTAAGCTTTCACGATATTATAAGTTAACGAGGAGCAAAATACTGAATACGATTTACGGATTGAGGGTGCTAAAATTTTCATTACACGAGTTTCTGTTTTCAAAAATAAACGACAAGACCCTTAATTGTTTTCAGACCTACGATAATAACTTCAAGAAATTCGTAAGTGTATGTGAGAAAGATAACAAATTTTCTTCTCAAAATCTTCTCGATGTAAAAACGGAAATGACTCACTTATTATGGAGCGAAATTTTTAAATATCAATCATAAAATATTGCGTACTACATTCCTTTCAAAACGGAAGTTAATTGGTTTGGGCGCCGGCTTTTGTTAACAATTCTACAATTCCTTGGTGCGCTTTTTGGGAAGCTATGTGAAGAGATGTCTGACCATTATCATCAGCGCGATTGATGTCAGCACCGACTGTCACCAAGTATTCGACAACTTTTTCGTGACCGTTGAAGGAAGCTACGTGAAGTGGTGTCACACCGTTATCGGTAGCGCGATTGATTTCGGCGCCGACTGTCGTCAACTTTTCGACAATTTTTTCCTGGCCTGTTAGGGAGGCTACGTAAAGTGGTGTGAAACCGCCATTAGCAACACGATTGATGTCGGCGCCGACTGTCGTCAAGTATTCGACAATTTTTTCGTGGCCTTTAAGGGAGGCTGCGTAAAGTGGTGTGAAACCGCCATGAGTAACACGATTGATGTCGGCGCCGACTGTCTTCAAATATTCGACAATTTTTTCGTGACCATTGAAGGAAGCTACGTAAAGTGGTGTTGCACCGTCATTCATAGCGAGATTGATTTCGGCGCCGGCTGTTGCCAAGTATTCGACAATTTTTTCATGGCCATTGGAAGAAGCTACGTAAAGTGGTGTTGCACCGTCATTCGTAGCGCGATTGATTTCGGCGCCGACTGTCGCCAAGTATTCGACAACTTTTTCGTGGCCGTTTAGGGAGGCTACGTAAAGTGGTGTGAAACCGTCACTATCAGCATGATTGATTTTGGCGTCGACTTTTGTCAAGTTTTCTACTACTTTTTCGTGACCCTTGAAGGAAGCTACGTAAAGTGGTGTCACACTGTGAATCGTAGCGCTATTGATTTCGGCACCGACTTCTGTCAAGTATTCGACAACTTTTTCGTGACCTGTTTCGGAAGCTATGTAAAGTGGTGTCGCACCGTCATTCGTAACGCGATTGATTTCGGCGCCGACTCTCGTCAAGCATTCGACAACTTTTTGATGACCGTTTTGGGAAGCAATGTGAAGCGGTGTTAAACCGTTACTACAAGCACGATTGATTTCGGCGCCGACTGATGTCAAGTATTCGACAACTTTTTCGGGACCGTTTTGGGAAGCCATGTGAAGTGGTGTCCAACCGTCAATATCGGCACGGTTGATTTCGGCGCCGACTTTCGTCAAGCATTCGACAACTTTTTGATGACCGTTTTGGGAAGCAATGTGAAGCGGTGTTAAACCTTTACTACAAGCACGATTGATTTCGGCGCCGACTTTCGTCAAGCATTCGACAATTTTTTGATGACCGTTTTGGGAAGCAATGTGAAGCGGTGTTAAACCGTTACTATAAGCACGATTGATTTCGGCGCCGACTGATGTCAAGTATTCGACAACTTTTTCGTGACCTGTTTCGGAAGCTATGTAAAGTGGTGTCACACCGTTATTCGTAGCGCGATTGATTTCGACACCGACTCTCGTCAAGCATTCGACAACTTTTTGATGACCGTTTTGGGAAGCAATGTGAAGCGGTGTTAAACCGTTACTACAAGCACGATTGATTTCGGCGCCGACTGATGTCAAGTATTCGACAACTTTTTCGGGACCGTTTTGGGAAGCCATGTGAAGTGGTGTCCAACCGTCAATATCGGCACGGTTGATTTCGGCGCCGACTTTCGTCAAGCATTCGACAACTTTTTGATGACCGTTTTGGGAAGCAATGTGAAGCGGTGTTAAACCTTTACTACAAGCACGATTGATTTCGGCGCCGACTTTCGTCAAGCATTCGACAATTTTTTGATGACCGTTTTGGGAAGCAATGTGAAGCGGTGTTAAACCGTTACTATAAGCACGATTGATTTCGGCGCCGACTGATGTCAAGTATTCGACAACTTTTTCGTGACCTGTTTCGGAAGCTATGTAAAGTGGTGTCACACCGTTATTCGTAGCGCGATTGATTTCGACACCGACTCTCGTCAAGCATTCGACAACTTTTTGATGACCGTTTTGGGAAGCAATGTGAAGCGGTGTTAAACCGTTACTACAAGCACGATTGATTTCGGCGCCGACTGATGTCAAGTATTCGACAACTTTTTCGGGACCGTTTTGGGAAGCCATGTGAAGTGGTGTCCAACCGTCAATATCGGCACGGTTGATTTCGGCGCCGACTTTCGTCAAGCATTCGACAACTTTTTGATGACCGTTTTGGGAAGCAATGTGAAGCGGTGTTAAACCTTTACTACAAGCACGATTGATTTCGGCGCCGACTTTCGTCAAGCATTCGACAATTTTTTGATGACCGTTTTGGGAAGCAATGTGAAGCGGTGTTAAACCGTTACTATAAGCACGATTGATTTCGGCGCCGACTGATGTCAAGTATTCGACAACTTTTTCGTGACCTGTTTCGGAAGCTATGTAAAGTGGTGTCACACCGTTATTCGTAGCGCGATTGATTTCGACACCGACTCTCGTCAAGCATTCGACAACTTTTTGATGACCGTTTTGGGAAGCAATGTGAAGCGGTGTTAAACCGTTACTACAAGCACGATTGATTTCGGCGCCGACTGATGTCAAGTATTCGACAACTTTTTCGGGACCGTTTTGGGAAGCCATGTGAAGTGGTGTCCAACCGTCAATATCGGCACGGTTGATTTCGGCGCCGACTTTCGTCAAGCATTCGACAACTTTTTGATGACCGTTTTGGGAAGCAATGTGAAGCGGTGTTAAACCGTTACTACAAGCACGATTGATTTCGGCGCCGACTGATGTCAAGTATTCGACAACTTTTTCGTGACCGTTGAAGGAAGCTGCGTGAAGTGGTGTCACACCGTTATTCGTAGCGCGATTGATTTCGGCGCCGACTCTCGTCAAGCATTCGACAACTTTTTGATGACCGTTTTGGGAAGCAATGTGAAGCGGTGTTAAACCGTTACTACAAGCACGATTGATTTCGGCGCCGACTGATGTCAAGTATTCCACAACTTTTTCGGGACCGTTTTGGGAAGCCATGTGAAGTGGTGTCCAACCGTCAATATCGGCACGGTTGATTTCGGCGCCGACTTTCGTCAAGCATTCGACAACTTTTTGATGACCGTTTTGGGAAGCAATGTGAAGCGGTGTTAAACCTTTACTACAAGCACGATTGATTTCGGCGCCGACTTTCGTCAAGCATTCGACAATTTTTTGATGACCGTTTTGGGAAGCAATGTGAAGCGGTGTTAAACCGTTACTACAAGCACGATTGATTTCGGCGCCGACTGATGTCAAGCATTCGACAACTTTTTCGTGACCTGTTTCGGAAGCTATGTAAAGCGGTGTTAAACCGTTACTACAAGCACGATTGATTTCGGCGCCGACTGTCGTCAAGCATTCGACAACTTTTTGATGACCGTTTTGGGAAGCAATGTGAAGCGGTGTTAAACCGTTACTACAAGCACGATTGATTTCGGCGCCGACTGATGTCAAGTATTCGACAACTTTTTCGTGACCTGTTTCGGAAGCTATGTAAAGTGGTGTCGCACCGTTTTGATTAGCGCGATTGATTTCGGCGCTGACAGTGGTCAAGTATTCGACAACTTTTTGGTGACCCGTTTCGGAAGCCATGTAAAGTGATGTCACACCGTCATTCGTTGCGCGATTGATTTCGGCGCCGACTTTCGTCATGTATTCAACAACTTCTTTGGCGCTGGAGGCTACGTAATATAATCCGAAACCGCCATTAGCAGCACGATTGATTTCGGCACCGACTGATTTCAAGTATTCGACAACATTTTGGTGACCGTTTTGGCAAGCAAAGTGAAGTGGTGTCCAACCATTATTATCAACGCGATTGATTTCGGCACCGATTGTCGCCAAGTATTCGACAATTTTTTCGTGACCACTTTCGGAAGCTGCGTGAAGTGATGTCGCACCGTATTTATTAGTGCGATTGATTTCGGCGCCGACTTTCGTCACGTATTCGACAACTTTTGCGTGCCCATTTTTGGAAGCTACGTGAAGTGCTGTATGACCACCATTAACAGCATGATTGATTTCGGCCCCGACTGTTGCCAAGTATTCGACAACTTTTTCATGGCCGTTTTGGGAAGCAATGTGAAGTGGTGTCCAGCCGTCATTCAGAGCACAATTGATTTCGGCGCCGACTGTTGTCAAGCATTCGACAACTTTTTGGTGACCTTTTTCTGAAGCAATGTGAAGTGGTGTCCAACCCACATTATCAGCACGATTGATTTCGGCCCCGACTGTCGCCAAGTGTTTGACAACTTTTTGGTGACCGTTTTTAGAAGCTATGAAAAGTGGTGTGGAGCCGTCATTATTAGCAAGATTGATTTCGGCCCCGACTGATGTCAAAAATTCGACAACATTTTGGTGACCGTTTTGGGAAGCAACGTGAAGTGGTGTCCAACCGTCATTAGCAGTACTATTGATTTCGCAGCTGTTTGTCACCAAGTATTCGACAACTTTTTCGTGACCGTTGAAGGAAGCTAGGTGAAGTGGTGTCACATTGTCATTAGCAGCGCGATTGATTTCGGCACCGACTGTCGCCAAGTATTCGACAACTTTCTCATGGCCGTTTTGAGAAGCTATGTGAAGTGGTGTCCAACCCACATTATCAGCACGATTGATTTCGGCCCCGACTGTCGCCAAGTATTCGACAACTATTTGGTGACCGTTTTGTGAAGCATCGTGAAGTGGTGTGGAGCCGTCATTATCAGCGCAATTGATTTCGGAGCCGACTGTTGTTAAGTGTTCGACAACTTTTTCGTGACCGTTGAAGGAGGCTAGGTGAAGTGGTGTCACACCGTCATTCGTAGCGCGATTGATTTCGGCGCCGACTCTTGTCAAGTATTCGACAACTTTTTGGTGATTGTTTTGGGAAGCAACGTGAAGTGGTGTACAATCATCATTTGCAGCATGATTGAGTTCGGCGCCGACAGCTGCCAAGTGTTCGACAACTTTCCGGTGACCGTTTTCAGAAGCTATTAGAAGTGGTGTACAACCCTCGTTATCCACGCAATTGATTTCGGCGCTGACTTTCGTCAAATATTCGACAACTTTTTCGTGACCGACGGAGGAAGCAATGAGAAGTGGTGTCGCGCCGTTTTTATTAGCGCGATTGATTTCGGCGCCTACTGTCACTAAGTATTCGACAACTTTTTCGTGACCGTTTTGTGAAGCCATGTGAAGTGGTGTCGAACCCTCATTATCAGTACAATTGATGTCGGCGCCAGCTCTCGCCAAGTGTTCTACAACTTCTTTGTAACCGTGTCGAGAGGCTGTATAAAGTGCTGTACAACTATAAGCAGCACAATTGATTTCGGCGCCTGTCGCCAAGTATTCGACAACTTTTTCGTGACCTAAGAAGGAAGCAATGTGAAGCGATGTCAGACCGTTATTCGTAGCGCGATTGATTTCGGCGCCGATTGTCACCAAGTGTTCGACAACTGTTTGGTGGCCGTTTAAGGAAGCTACGAAAAGTGGTGTCACACCGTCATTATCAGCGCGATTGATTTCGGTGTCGACTGTCGACAAGTATTCGTCAACGCTTTTATGACGAGTAGGGGAAGCCGTGCAATGTGCTGTCGCACCACACCTTACAAAATCTTTAACGATGTTTAAATTACCGTTTTGACAGGCCAGCAACAGTAGCGTTTTAGCTCCTTTAGCAGTAACAACTTTCGTTTTGCACCAAAAGTTTTTTAACTCGCTCACTCTGAAGAATTTGCACACGTCTTCGTAGCCAAATTTAGCACAATAAAATAGTATATTTATTAGGTCTTTGGTAGAGCATAATTTAGTCAATTCATTTATTTTTATTTGAAGTAATTTCAGTTCCGCTCCTAAACTCTCACTTCGTATGGCGTAAGACAAAGGCGTCGTATCTAGCAAAACGTCACGTTCCCTAACATCGTTCTTTCCTTGCAAGTACGTTATCGTTTCAAAATATGCTTCGGTTTCGGGTTTTTCAACGAAATTGTTAGCTTCGTGCACAATATACTCCTCATTTACAACCGTCAGTGTTACACGGGGGTGTCTGCGTCCCCACGACGAAATCAAATGTAAAGCATTTCTACCCCCTTCATCTTTGCCTTTTAATATTTTGTCGTCGTATGTTCTCAGTAATTCGTAATTTTTGTACAACACGGCAATATGAGCTTTTGAGTTTTTAGCTATCAACATGTCAAAAAAGAAACGAACGTTGTCATACTTTGCGTGGAATATTGTATCAGTAATTATGTCTTTAAACTCACTTACGTTTTTGGTTAAATATGTAGCAATTAAATATTCTGCGAAAGAAATATGGAGAAAATGGGGAACATTATTTTGAAAGTCATTTATAAGACCCAGAGATGCATAACTTTGTTGAAGTTTTTCTATGCATTTTTCGTTGTCAATATTTAATTGCTGCATAATTTTTTCGTCAAATATTACTATAAAAGACACACTTTCATGTAAATCTAAAATCTCTCGTTTTTCTTGGCGAATTCTACTTGCGAGATGTGGATTTTCAAAATCGAAACCAATTTTGTGTTTGTAATAATTATTAAATTTTTCGTCAATGGAATAGTCGTACAAGTCAGTCAAGAGAAATGTGTTTTCCATTAGTTTAAAATATTTTTCGCTATTTACACGGAACAGTTCGGTGAGCATAAATATTTGCAATGGGATTCCTAAGATGTCTATGTGTTCTACAATGGCAAAAGACGATTCGATTTTTTCAAGCGTGATATCAATTTTGTCTGAAGAAATAAAATTATTTAGACGTTTTCTAATATAATCTTGTTGCTCTTGTTGACTAAATTGATTCATACTAAGTGACAGCAAATTGAATTTTTTTTCTAGAGTTGTTTTTAAATTTCGTCTGCTAGTAACCCACTGACGGGAGTTTTTTGTTGAGAGATCGAGAATTATATTTTGAACGGCATCTAAATGTTCATTTAAAATTTCATCGAGTGCGTCCCACACGTAAATAACGTTGTTTTTCTTTATACACATCTCGAAAAACAGTCGATCTAGTTTTCTGAGTGGTCGACATTTTTCGTTCGTGATAAATTTTTCAAATAAAGCTGCACAATTTGTTTCAGAAAATTTGGAATTATGAAAAAAAAAATTAACATCTTTAGGACTAAAAATAACTGTCCAGAATTTCGGTGGACATTTATTTTTGAAGCTTTTCATTAGCTCCGATTTTCCCATTCCCGGATCGCCAATTATAAGATTGATGCTATTATCTAACCGAGAAGACCACAGCGTATTTTCCTCTATAGAATATTTGTCAGGCAATTTATAAACCTCTACATCACTAACATCGCCTAAGCTTTTGACCAACTCTAAATTTCCGTCACTCAAAAGTTGAAAATAGTGAAACTGTTTGATTTCGTTGTGTTCGTTGTAAATTTGTTGAAGTTCAGTATTATTATAGTGCCGATTACCTGCATAAATCGTTAAACCAAACTTTGATTTATCAAGATAAATTCTATTTTCATTATTAAACTCATCATATTGAATTTTTTTCCGGTGACCAACGAACTCTTTATTAGCAGAGCTCGATTTGTTGAGGTCAAAATTAGCTGTGTGTCTATTTGGGCCAGAATTAAGCACACAAGCTTCATTTGTTAGATTTTCGGCAGTGTGATTTTTTTTCTGTAAAAAGTTATCAATGTCAATTAATTGACATTTGTCGAGTTTGTCTTTAACGATGTCAAAGTTATTCGCCCAATTCATAATAATAATGGTGTTTTCGTGGACTTTTTCTAAATATGTGAAGTTTACAATATTCCGAGACAGATAACGTTCAACATAAGGTTCAGGAAGTGTTTCCTTTTCCCCGTCAATAGGAAATGGACCGTTTAGCATTTCTATTAAATGGTCGGTCCTAACATTTTCTAAAAATTCCCCATTATCTCCAAAAGCAGTAACTAGATTAAGTTCTTCTTTTCCTTGTATCGATATGGTAAAATTTTGCATAATTGTGTCTCGTAGCTCAGGTTTGCTATTCAGGTTTGATAGATTTTGGAACACAGAATACGTTTTCATCCACTCTTCATATTTGCATTCGCCAACCAGAATGAACTTTTTGCCAGGACAGAGTTGGATACCTTTTTCGACGTTTTCATGTTTACGTAATATTAATGGAGATTCGTCCATGAACCATAACAAATGACTAAGAATCTTCGGATCTATATCGCTAATATTATCGTCATTAATGTCCTTGACACTAGGTAGATATCTCTTTCTTATTTTGTTTAATTCCTCAAAGTCAATGTTTTTTTCTTTTCCAACATCACCCCACAGCGTTTTAACTATGTCGCACGATTCTTTTTCAAATAGTGCGATATCGAATAAGGAAATACTGTCTCTAAATATTTTCATTTTGTCACTAACCGACCCAAATGATAAAGGCTCTGTTTGAGAGGAGAGAAGGTGTAAAGCAAGTACAAGTTGCACCCAATTTTTGTTCAGCTTTTCCTTCTTCCCATCTTGAATGCTCCACTCAGAAATGGATCTGAAGAATTTGTCGAAAAGTTCCTCATTCGAATTATATGTTTTACTAAAATTGTAAGCTGTTGTATTTTTCATTGTCTCAAGATTGTGTTGGTCGGTATAAAGATAAAATTTACTTAAAAATGTCTTATATTCTTCAATTATGGGAAAATCTAGTAAGGTCGATGGGTTTTCTGCTATTCGGAACTGATAGACTTTTGATTGCTCGGAAAGCTCTAAGCTATCTTCTGCTTCGATTAGTTCGATATGGAATTTTTCCTTTTGAAGGATAAATTTTTCATTCTCTTTACACACAAGTGGACGGTTGGTAAATAATATAAATTCATGTACATCTGCCTCTATCTCCCGAAAACTTTCAAAATATTTGCTTATACTAAACGGCCCGCTTCTTGATCGTAAATTTTGTACGGTTAGTGTTTTTGTATTGGTGTGCTTTAGCTGTACTGCTTTAACTCGTATTTCATGTTCCGTATTCGACTCAGTTTTAATGACTATATCGTCAAACGCACCAAACTTTTCTTCGTTTGACGAAACGTGAAAATTTTTTACTGTGGGGTCGTTTATTAGTTTTAGTAGAAGACTGGAGAGAACCGTATCCTCGTATTCTTTTCCCCTATCAGTCGTACCAGGTCTTTTTGTAAACGTCTGGAAAGAAATAAACGAGCGACTGGTTTGAAAAGTAATTATGTGGTAGAAAATAATTAATAATAAATTTCTGTTTGATTCATTTTTTGCTCTTCTTTAAGTCTCATTAACATATTTATTTTTAAATTCACCCACCCTAGAAAATTTATAAATGACCTGGTAAATTAATAAATTAATATGAAAGCCAGCTGCTTTAAATAATGAAATGGCTAATTTAGTGGACATTGATCAACTTTTTATTTTTCAACGATACTGAATTGAACTGACAATTACTGCGTTTTAGCTATCCAAATTTTTCGGATATACGTATAAGCATAGACATATTATATATGGAGAAACACTCACCTCGATTTCCGCCATTTTCGAAGTTGCCGTCACCAGTGGATGGTAGATGTTTAGCTAAAAATTTTACAATAAAACTGGAGGAGAAGCACATCTATGTATTAGGTATATATAAGCGGTTTATTGTTTGCTTTTGATAAGAAAACAAATACATACACTTTTTCAAACAGTGCGAAGTGTTTATCTGTGTGGTCTTTAAACAAGTATAATTTATTTTCACATAAAAAAAATTCCTCTAACCATTCTCACCAGTAATGTGATGACGGTACCTAGAAATTATGTGTATAAACGTTATTTAAATTTCATAAAGTAATACATTTTTCTAATTCTGGCCTATGAGCTTGTCGTTATTTTTGACTCTACGCATACGGATTTATTAAATTTTATATTAGCAATGTAGGCGAATACCGTACTTCATAGACATATTTCCCTATTTGTATCAGCTCAAGGTAAAAGCATTCATTGTGTTAAAGACGTTCTTTTCGTGGAATTTAAATGTATTTACAGCAATTTACCCGTTGTTAACGCGCAAAAAAATTATCTCATGTTAGTAAACGTAATGGATATTTCCATCACGAGGTCTAATGTAGACAACTTTGTTTACTATATGCCATATAAACTTGGTTTTTACGTTAATAAAATAATTTAAAGTGTTTAGACAGTGGTGCCTTCGTGACTCCTTACATGTCAAGCTTTTTCTAATATGGAGATCATTGAGGAAATAGTTTTATAATAAACATTTTTTAGTTAGTTTCTTAGATATACATATTTTAAATTTTAATTTTGCGTAAAGAAGCATGCTATACATATGTTTCAAGTGAGTTTTGTATAATAAAATTTTCTGTAACTTTTTGTAAGGTGCAAAAGGCCACATTTCGATTTGCATGAAGCTAAGTATAAAAACACAAATACACTGAAGTTGCTAATAAAATAAAACCAAAAGGAAGATTTACTAGACTTTTGTTTACTTTTATTTTTTATATTTACATTATTTGTATAATTTATAACAATATAATATGTTTTAAGAATATGAATATGGTAATCAAATTTTATTATAGGCTCAGTATTTTTTTGTTCCATTTTGTTTGCTGTTTTTGGGCCTTTTTCCGGACTGGTCAGGACTTAATTCTGTTTGATTTGCTGCTGGTATAGACTGATGGAGCGTTTTGATCCTTCGATTCCTATAAAAATAGATTTATTATTGGAAACTTATATTTTAAAAATTATTGTTCACATAAATAAAAATTAATAAGGGGGAGATTCTCGAAACTCGATAAGGCCTTGCAAGGATCTGCAAATTCAAAACCATAGCAACATGTATTGTTGTTGCATTGTATTTGCAGTTTCGATAGCGATTTGCAACTTATCGGAGTTTCCAGAATCTCCCCCTAATAATTTTATATCTATAACTATATCTAAAAATTTATATACACCGGTGATGATTTCTTCAAAAAGTCACGAAGACGGCTGTGTTTGGAGGTCGTGGTTAAATTTCAGGGAAAAAACTTGGTATGGACCTGCCAGCTATTCCCTGAGGACACCAAGTCGTTATTGACTGAATTCTTTTGGTAGAAATGTCATTTTTATCTTGGTAATCTTTTCGGATTCTTCGTCAGAAAATATAACTGCGAAAATTCGCTGGGAACTCTATTTTCGTATATTAATATTTAGAACAAAAAAATCCTTTTGAGTTGTGAGTTTCCATTGAAAGAAAGGCAAAAATCCGTAGGATCGTAACAACATTTAACAAAACTAATTTTAGACTTTAGTTACCAACACAGAAAATAATCTTTCATTTTTGAGGTTTTAGTGTTGTACTCGCACATTGGTTTCTGAAATCACAATACACCAGTTTATCAAACCATCAGGTATTACCCTTTTGATATTTAGAAGTGTTTCTTGAAGAAGGCCTATTGATATACGCAACTTTGCCAGAATTCTAAAACCAATAATAATGTTTATTGGTACATATAACAAAAGTCGTTTTATAACTTTAAAATCAAGTCAAAACATTGGATGGGGGCACAATTACTGAGGTAACACTGAGGAATTCATAATAATTGTAAAATGCATTTTTGATGAGATAATCTGACATTTGTCTCTTAAATTGCTTTATACCAAGATTTTGAGTACTTTCTGATAATTTATTGTAAAATTTGACAGAGTAATAATTGAATGACTGGTTTCTTTTTAACCTTACAAAATTTGGAAGAAGTGCAGCGTTGTGACGTGTATTATACGAGTGAATATCTTTGTGTCTCATATGATTATTGATGTTGAGTTTAAGATGTAGCAGTGAATTTAATATATATATATTGACGGTAGGGTTAATATTCTTAAGGATGTAAAATATGAGCGGCAATCATCCCTATAACCTATGCCAGCAAGCATTCTTATTGCTCTTCTTTGGAGCCGAAATATGCGATTACAGATGCTGGCATGACCCCATGTTAGGATACAGTATCTTAGATGCGATTCACATAAGGCAAAATATGCTGTTCTGAGCACTTGATTTGATACTTTATTTTTAAGACTCCTTAACACAAATAAGTTTTTGCTAATTCTATTGGCCAGCTCGTCGCCGTGAACTTTCCAGGTTAGTTTTGCATCCAAATGTATCCCAAGGAATTGTGCTGAAGTGGTGAAATCGGGTGGAACGTCGCTATTTTTTAAAGAAAATAACATAGTGGTAGTTTTATTTGCGTTCAAGCTGAGGTCGTTTTGTCTGAACAAATCCTCAGCCCTCGATTACGTCTCCTCTCTTTTGACGCAGATAGTCTCCGTCGATGTTGCTTGGTTTATTAGGGTTGTATCGCCTGCATTCAAGATAATTTTTGAGTCTATACTAGAAGATAGGTCGTTAATAAAAATATTGAATAAGAGGGGCCCCAGGATGGACCCTTGTGGCACACCTTTTCTGACAGGAAGACAATCGGATAATTGTTCCTTATATTTGACAACCTGGTGTCTACCTTCCAGATATGATCTAATAAATTGAATGCTAGACGGTACCAAGTTATAGGCTGTCAGTTTTTTGAGGGGAAGTTTATGCGAGACGCAGTCGAAGGCTTTGGACAGGTCCAGAAAAGACGAGATATAAAATTAACTAACACCTGAACAGCATTACCAGTGGAACGGTTTCTCCTAAAACCATATTGTGAGTCAGAAAGTAAAGCATGTGATTCAAGATAAGTACAAAGTTGTTCAAATAGAATTTTCTCTAATATTTTGCCAAATATGGGAAGTAATGAGATAGGTCGATAGTTAGATGGATTATTAGTATCACCCTTTTTGTATACTGGTACAGTGACCGCTGTTTTAAGACATTTGGGAAAGACGCAATATTTTATGCAAAAGTTAATAAGTTTTGCAAGTGGAGGTATCAGCAAGTTCTTTATACTTTTGACAATTTTCACATTAAGATTAAAGATATCAGAAGAATTACTATTTTTCAGGTTATCTATAGCTTCTCTCACTTTTATGTGTGACACTTCTTTAAAACTGAAACTAGGGCTATTAATCAAGGAGTGAGTAGACTTACTTACTAACTATATCACAGTGTTCAATATCACAGTCATTATTGCTTTGCGTTACCAATTTTGAAATTTCATTTATAAAATAGTTGTTAAAATCGTCACAGGTCATATCACAGCTTAATTTTTGACTACTAACACTTTTATTGCGAGTTTCGTTGATAATTTTCCACATAGCCTTGACTTTATTACTTGCAGTAGAGATGAATTTTTCATTTATTTTGTCACGATATACTTTCCTAAACGAGTTTTTTGCTGACTTGGTTTGTTCACTCCCAATTAGATTATTTATTTCACATAAATGTTGTAATGTTTCCCGCATTTGAATTAATTCACTATCAAACCACT